GTCACTCGTTTTGAACAGGTATGTTAAAACCATCCCTGTCAGGTGTTAAATCAGTCCCTGTTTATGCAGGACTTGAATTAAAACGTTAAATAAAAGGTAGATTATCCCTTCATTTTATACTTTTTCTTAAGCATCTGAAGAGAAAAGGTAATGGGCTGAGATTAAAAAAGACCCAAAAGATAAGGTAGAAGATACTTATTTAAAGTACGTATTGTAACTTGAGCTGTAACGGGTATTCACTGAATTTAACAGAGAAGAGTAGGGGAAATTACACAAGGAAGCTCAGTCGCACAAACAATGCTAAATATAGGCAGCCAGTCAGATTTTAAACTCCACCAGTCCTTAAAAAGAGTGCAAGGAGGCCTTTGCTGATTAGTACGGAGTAGATGAGGTCACAGAACAAATTGGTCAAGTCTAATTGATTTGTGTGTCTGAGGACTGACCTTTTCCACCTAACTGAATCAGCCTGGATGCTAACTTCTTGGAAAGAAGAAGATAAATGCCACTTACACTGTTTCGATCTACTGTGTATTTCTACTGCTGTTGGAAATTTGTATTAAATACAAAAATATTTCATAAACCACATTATCAGTGGCAGGGACAAGGGGTACTAGCAGCAGCAGCCACTGTGGCATTGTGTTCTGTGTTTGGTATTGTTCTTGTCAGTGATGGCACTGGTGGCCTGCATACTTTTTGGAGCCAGTTGATATATTACTAGTGGAAAACATGGTGCAGTTTGTGAACTCCCAATATAGAATGTGTTAATAGTTGAATCTTATGGCATATTTGGACCTTAAAGGTACCACTTCTGAGACGTTCAGAAACAGAGCAGGCCCTATCCAGGCAAACTAGAAACACAGATTAATAGTGTTATTGTGGTTTGCAGATTTCAAGAAGAATACTATCTTTAATAGAGTGAGAAAGTATATTAAAATATTATTTTAAAAGTTAGTCTGTAACTTAATCAATAACAATCAAGTTGAAAATGAAAGTTAATGTAAAAGTTTTTCAAAACTTCAATCAAAAAGTTAAAATGTCTGAATGAAGGGGATGCCGTTAACTTGAAAAATCCTTTTCCTATCTAAAAATTGACTCTACATATGTCTAAGTCAAAGACATAGTTCATTTTTTTTTTTACGTTAGTTTCTACTGAAAAATTAGAGGATTCCTACAAATTCAATTTCCTACGTTGTGGGTGTGGGATCCCAAATAATCAGTAGAATAACAGACTTTAAGAATTGCTATTTAAAGTAATTCCTTTGGAAGAAAACTGAGCCTGGCAATACATTGGTAATACCTTGACATTTCCTTGTAATTAGAAGCATTTTCTTAAAAAAGTTTTCCTCGGAGTACTTTTAAAGATTTTTTTGTCTAATAGTAATGTAATTCCTATTGTTTTTCTTACATTTATAAAGAAAAAGGCAGATTTGGGTAATGGAGTTTATGTAGGTAGTCTGGTTTTCAGAGAAGAAATGGACTGTTCCCCAGCTTTCTACTGAAGCAACTCCACGTGTCCAAGGTTCATAGCAATTCCGGAACTTTTAATATATTTCAAGATGTATTTGTTTCCAGTCTAGCAACAGTTATACTAGAAATGTTTGCTTACATTTTGAAAAAGATATGTTAAGTGTCTTACCTTTCTGTTGCTTCTTAGAGGCAGCATATGTACACTTTTTTCAATGCACTGACAAGGAATAATGTGGTGCAACAGCTTTTTCTTTTTTTTTTTTTTTTTTTCCCCAACCTTTGTACCTGATGAATAAGCAGACAGTGTAAAAAAAAAATAAGCCTAGAAAATCCTTAGCAAAAGATTGACTAGGTTGAGCAACTTCTTATAATCATCTTGAATTTAATTGGATCTGTAGCCAATAGGGAAGTCTAATAGTAGTATGCTCAAGTGTCAAGTTACAGATCATCTAGGAAGCACTGAGTTAAAATGCCACAGGAAATTTATAAGCAAATTGGGTTATAATCAATTAAAGAAATGCTGGAGACAGAATAAAACTTGCATTTTTAATGTGATCAGTCATCAAATAAAGAAAATTTCAAAATACTTGCATCCTGAAGTAAAGATATGTAGTAGTTAGTGAAATCTACGTTAAATGCTTCTCTTTTTGGAAACAGACTCATCAGAGGGGCTGTGGGTGTGATACATAAAGCTCATTATTTACAAAGAATCTACAAAGACGTTGTTATATGGGCTGTATTTCAGGAAGAAGTTCTAAAAACTGATGATACTTGCTCTGATTTGAGAGCATGTCTTTGTGCAGGTTGAAAAACAGATTATATTGATACACAAACACTATGGCAAATAATTTTTTTCTTGCATTGCTGCTCATTCTGTCCATTGCACAGCATCAAACTACAGAACAGTTCAATCTACTCTCATTCTTCACTCCGCTGAAATACGTGGCTGTAGAAACCATTTTACTTCACTATCCCTCTTTGATGTTATTGCCACTCTGATTTTTTATTAATATCTCAGAACATTCTGCAACTTTTCCAACCCTCATCCCTGATTCAGCTTGATCAGTAGTCTTCCAATTACTTGTGATAATTAATTGTCTTCCTGTGACAGCCTTTGCTGATATTTGTATTGCCTCTTAGAAAATCACTGAGTTTTAACCTTCTGTCAAAAGATTTCTACCAGAGAAGATGCATCACAGCTAAGTCAGACAGTTATAGTCTCAAGGACATACTGGATGACCTTGAAGCATTTAGCCAGAAGTGCGTATCACCTAAGGAAAAGAGTCTTGCCTTAAGTGAAGAGGCTACTCTGTAAAATGTCCACATACACTTTACATTGGAGGGGCTGGAAAAGTGGGCTTTCTTTCCTTACTCTGCCATGCATACTTGCAGTCTCAAGCATAGATGAGAAAAATCTAGTTTGGAGGAACCACTGCCTTCAATGGTGGCAGCTGCTTCCACATGGTGTTTTGGAGCACAGGAGAAATGCAGCGAATGGTTTTCTTCTCTCCCTCCCTAAATATTTTAGTGATCTCCAGGAAAAGGCAAGCTGTTTGTACTTAAGGACAAGCTCCCTATGATCAGTACTGACAGTCTCTCCAGGTGAATTACATCTAGTGTGGAGATTTATTCTGGAAATTGGCAACCTTTACATCTTCTTAAGTTCTTCATTGCAATTTCCATGTTTACATTCTATCGTGTCTTCAGTTGGGCTTGACTTAAGAGAAACTGTCACTCCTGAGGCCTTGCAACAACTTTCATAGGCTCAGATTGAGGGATGAGAGGGTCTTGAGTCAGACTATTCTTATAGTTTAAGAACATGCTTGACTTAAAACATTACTCCTTTCCACTACCAAGCATAACAAAGCTATCCATTCATAAGCCAGCATACTTACAGTGTAGACCTCAGTCTTTGGACTGAGTCTGAACAAATCATTTTTACTTTGAAGAGGGTGTTCCATTGAATATCATGTTACAACCATCCATTATTTTTTGGGCAGTCCTAGTGCACTCCAAATTTGGTGCAGGAAGTGGGAGATCATCACTTTGATTTGTTTCTTCATCATGAGACTCCAAAACATTTTGCAGGGTGTGTTGTTAGCTTGACAGAATGTCTACTGACAGAATCCTCAGATTCTTGGAGATTATAGGTCTTTCTTGAAGCCAGCTGGAAGACTGGTTACACTTTTTAATCTCTTTTGAGAATTCCTTATAAGTGGTGAAAACTATGAGGAAAGGCTGAGGGAGCTGGAATTATTTAATCTCTAGAAGAGATGATTTATAGGTACCTTCTCAAAGTAAATACCTTATGAGTAGGAATAAAGAAATGGACCTGGTGTCCTCTCATTAATGTCCAAGGGCAGCATAAGAGACAATGGCCACAAATTGGAGAACAATAAATTCCATTTAAATGTAAGAAAAAACTCCTTTTACTGTAAGAGTGGCAAAACATTGAAACATTGCCCAGAGAGGTTGTCAGGTCTCCATCCTTAAAGATACTCAGAACCTGCATGAACAAGACACTGACAACTTGCTCTAGGTGACCATGCTTGGAGTAGTGGGGCTCGACTAGATGACCTTTGGAAGTCTGTTCTGATATCAGCTCTACCCTTTTTCTATGAAATTTTCATTATTCCCTTACCCTCAGATTATCCTTTTGCAGTTCCTCTGTCTCGCATCATCTTTTAAGCCTGAGGGCATTATTGGCTGCAATCGTTCATCTGGTAGTGTCAGTTACACAATTTAAAATTTTTTGAGTCTTGCAACTCGTGAAGAGTTAATGAAAATTAGAAGAAAAATAAATCCTGGAGGAAAGTATCCAGCTGATTTTGTCGTTCTTTATCGCAGAAGTCACTCTAGAAGCAAGCAAACAGTTTAACCAATCTTTCATGAACTGTGAAGGGGAGGAAGGTACGCTCCTCAGGGTCTCAAGAGGTTTTTTTTATTTCCTTCAGCTCTGTTCTCAAGTTGACTCTCTAGCTGACAGGAATTTCATAGAAATTTCTAGAAATTACATAAAACAGTGGGAAGAACTCTTTGTGCCTTACTTGAATCTGCTAATACATTTGCTCGTAGCTCGCTATAGCTACAGTGGTAAAGAAGTTGTTATGGTTGCAGCCTATTGATTTCCGAAGGACATGAAAGTCATGAATCAAGAATGTCAGGAATGGCTAATTTCTTAGTTCTTTCATGGTTAAGAAGCTCCAAACTGCCTAAGACTCTGAAGCCACTCTCCATTCTTAAGGAATCCAACAATTCATTGCTAAAGTCATCTTACCATCATTACCCAGTACCATCAAGTCCTGGTAAATGTAACATGTTTTCTTTATATGCATTCGCAAATCACATACCAGCTTCTTTATTTCAGACTTCCTGTTCTTATTCCAGAAATTCACTGATTGAGAGCAACTGAGAGGGAGTAATATACTTTTGCCAGTACTGGGGACTATGCAGGTAGGCAGAGTGGGAGTGTTGGAAAGTACTCTGTGGGTACTGTAAGGGCAAAGGATTCTTCATCTTCTGCATTCCATGGTATGAATGTTTATATAGCTAATCCAACTCCAAGAAGATTAGATACAAATAGGTAACTGCTTTTTTTAGAGTCTGTGGAGTCTTTGAAGTAAATGATCATTTCTTCAGGCTGAAGGAATACCAGAGTTTGAAATGGGTTCTTAAAATAAACATCAACTAGTAAAAGTTAAAAAAACATTCTATTTTTACAGCACAGAAAAATTAATTCAAGCTGTAGAAGAAGATATAGAACATGAAAAAGTTGTAGCAGATGACATAATAAAAGACATGTCTCAGGAAAATCAAGCTAAATATATGGAGATGAAGGCTGCAAATGAAAAACTCTGTCAGGTTGGTTTGTTTCATTGTACTTACCTAAAATGTTTCTCTATCTAACTCCATTGGTTCCAGATACAATTTGAGTATTAAAGAGCTTGAGAACAGAGTAATACAATAAAAAAGCTTGCTAGTATCTTAATCAATTGTAAAGTGCTTGAAAAATAAATAAAGCAATTGACTAAAAGCAAATACTTTGTCTTTTTGTATTTCATATTTTAAGAACAAATTATGTTCATAGTTTTCCTTTCAAATTTGGGGACTGAGATGCAGATTTGAAAAGCCACGGTAATGCTTAGATGTTTCATCATGTGTGAAAAGCAAGTGGAAGGGAAAAACGGCACCAGCACTTTTCATAGTTCACTTGAGTGAAGAGGTTTCTTCCTGTGTACAAAAGTGAATCTGACTGAGGTTTTTTGTTGTTCTTCTTGTATGTCTGCATGTATCAGAAAAATGAACTGGGCTTTGTCACATTTTTGTGAATTCACTGATCCTAGTGTTAAATAAAGCAGTAAGATTTCTAGGTTCTCTGGGATCATCTAGCTTAAGGCATCAAGTCTTAGAACGTTTCTCTGTATAATCTGTGCAGAGAGACAGGCATCTTTTGAGGCCATTGCTTCCCAGTTGTCTCTAGCATGAGCTGAATCGCTGGTCAGGGCCTGGATCTTTCTGGACTATGAAGAAACTACAGAGGCTAGTTCAGATCTTAAATCTGACTTTAAACTTCTGAAGTAGAAATTATAAATTCCACCCTCAGTACTGATTTTAAGAAAAATACTGGAAAAAGAACAAACAGGTTTTTTGTTATAGTCCAACTGCAAATAGCAGTGGTAAGAGTTTATTGGAAAAGGTGCAAGCTTAGAGTAAGTGGATATGGTATCTGAATTACTTGGAGAAGTTGGACACAGTCTTGTCTTCTAAATTTTTAAGAGCAGCAATTAGATGTGTTACAACATTTTATAAATACTAAATTGCAGAACAAAAAAAGTAATTCATTAAATAGTAATTATTATCTGAATTTTGCTTTTTTTTTTCCTCTTTAGGAATTAGTTGTTCAACAGCAGGAACTGGATGCACTAAATGCAAAGGAGGAGGCTCTAAGAGCTGTATGTATGATAACTGGTCTCTGTACTAATCTTTGCTAAATTCTAGTGTAAAAAAATACAGTAGAAAAATACCTACAATCTTTCTCCTTACATTTTCAGATACTGTAGCATCATGCCTTAGAATGGAAAGGCAAAGCTGCCTCTCTGTTTTCCACCAATAATTTCTAATCACTTGTGGGTAAAAATTGTTTTTGCTAGATGCCAAGTACAAAATTTTGTTAGCAGTAATGAGGTTTCCTAGCTTGAGCTACTCATGTGGTTTCAAATGTTGTGTGTGGCATTTGATTGATTTGGAATTACTCTCTGAAGACAGACATGCAATTATCATTCACGTCCTTCTTAAGGATTTGTGAGACCTAATCTTTCAATATGTTTTCAACTTGCAGGATGTGTGAGAGTGATTTTCTTGTTCCACATTCCATTTCAAAAGCAACTTCTGGCTTTTGAAGGACAAAGTGATGCCTGCTAAGATATGTTTTGTCCCACATACATAGACACACACTTCTAATACACTGTCATATTGCTAGATTGAGGAGAATTTTCTCTTATTGTGTCTTTTACTGGACAAAAGGATCTATGAGGTGAAACATGCAGTCATCTATATATTCAGAAATTCCAAATACTTTTAGACATTTTTCCTGTCCCTTTGAATATTTTATATGCTTTATGATCCCCTGGAAATGATGAAGTAGTAAATCTACTCAGAACAATTGCCTGAGAATGAACTCATAAAGCAAGGAGTATGTGTAGATGAGTGTTGCTTAACTAAAGCATAATTTCTGCAATGCTCTCTTGCCATTTGAAAATAGCTAGTAGGTGTTTGCTTTTCCTAACAGGAAATAGCACACTCCCACTTGAAACAGGAGGCTGTGCAACTGTATGAAAAGCTCCATGAGCTCGAGGAACGTCGAGATCAAATGATTGCTGAGGATAAGAACATGGAATCTCCACAGGAGGAAAGAGAAAGGTTACTAAAGCAGGCAAGAACATAAATCATTATAATGTAAAAAATTCTCTGAGTCAGTATTTTAAAAGAGGATACTCTCTTGCAAGTACTTGGGTTTGAATCTTGCCTTTATTTGCTCTTTAAGTAACACAAATCATCTGAAATTAAGTACAGTTAACGAATTAGCTGGATGGGATGTTTCAGGTTCAGCCAAAATAAAATTGGCGCAGCCAGCTTTTCAGCTGGTTGACTTGTTCCAATTCATCAGTCATACTGGCATGGGGAAAGTGATACTATTGAACAGCTCTATAACATAGCTCCAGACAGTATCCTTGTGGGGTACTGAGCAGATGTACTAGTCCAGGAACAATTAATTTAGTTTATAAGGGTCTGTGCTGTGTTATGTAACTATCTATATATACTATATGGATTATTGGATTGAACAACACTGATAAGTGTGTCTGATTTTTAAATGTGTATTGTGAAAGCAAGAGAACATTTGGAAGACATAATACTTAAGTCATATCACTTCTTTTCAATGAAGAGCTGGTTTTGGACAATACGACAGCAAGTTTGTGATTTCATATGCTGACTTTCTATCCCTTCTGTAGTGAATTAAGAAATCTTTTTTGACTTTCCTTTTTTCATTTGTAGATTTTATTTAATATGTTAATGTTGTTATACTTTTTTATAGGTTAAGGATGATAGTCAAGAAATAGCAAGCATGGAAAGACAGTGAGTAATCCCATTATACTGTTGCTGGAAATTACATTTAGACCCTAAAAACAAATAAGTGAATTCCATCACATATTTCTGTGGACTTCTAGACCACATTTTTGAGCCTATGCTAGTGTTAACCTTCCACAGAGAACAGAATATATCCTTCTGTTTCAACTGAAGAACTTTTATAGTGATAGGACACTTAGACCTGCATAATAAGATACTTTCTGTCCTTATGAACACACCTTGAGAATATAAATTTGTAATAACACTGACATAAACTGCTTTAAAGCTGAAGAAGACATTCATCTGTTAAGAGCTCCTCATCTGGGACGTCTGTGAAGTTGAGCCTACATTATGCTGCAGTCACATTTTGAAGAGTTTGTTTGCTATGTGTTCTTAAAACCTAAGAGTTACAAGCTTGCTTACAGAAAGTTCAAATCTTAAGAGTAACAGGGCATTGTTCTTGATTTTTGGGTACTGGGTCTTTCTGAAGATTTGCTGGAAACTCTGGTAAATGTTGTAATAAATAGTAATGTATTGGGGAGGAGATAAAACAGTACAATATTTTTGTGATTTTAAGCCTTTTGATTTTTCTCTCTTTACAGAAAAAATGAGATAATTCTGACATCTCCTAGAAACAATTTTATATTATTTTAAGCAGTATTTCCAACTGTATGAATGAGTTAATTTTCAATGCATTGACACCTCTGACTGGATAAGAAGTTGCTTCACAGAATTTTTTGAAAGAAACAGTAACAGAGAATATATTTGAGAATTTACATAGAATGTTTATATGGTGATTTCATAATGGATTTTAGTGAATATATATGTAATTTTTAAGGAATACAGTTCCTTGTTGCAGTTTACCCATTAGGTTATGTAGCAGCCAGCAGAGGGACTAGTTGAGTAAGTTAAGAACTACTGATATCTCAAAAAAGGTTTTTAATAAAGAAGATCAGCAATACTTACTTTTAATACATATAGGGACTAAAGTGATAGGTGCTTTACATATACATTTTATAACAGCAATCCTCCTTATGTTCTTTTGGTTTTGATAAACTTAGGCTTGCTATTTTTATTCTCTATTTTTGTCTTAAAAATAAGTCTTTTGCAACACATTTGTAACCTTGGTTTTCATTATCTGTTTGTCAGGCTGACAGAAGTAAAAGAAAAAACAAACCATTTTAAAAAGGTCATTCAGCGGCTTGATATGTATCTGGAGAATCGTCAAGGTAATAGACCAAGGTTGTAACAGGCAATACAGAGCTGCTGTTTGTTAGGGACATTAGTTGCTTGAATCTTTTAGGCTTATGCAAATGTCCATTATTCACTGTTGAAAGAAGGTTTTGTGTTTAAGGGCCCAGGCTTCTCTTTTTGGATGTGAGAAATCGGGAGTACCCACCCTTAGTGGCATGTTAATCAAATTCATATTGAGCAGTAAAACTACCATATAAAATAATAGTACAACTGTGTTATCTTCTATCCCAATTTTATTTTTAGGCATAGTTGAGAAATAAAAGTTTATCTTACTGGCAGCATTGCAGAGCTAGCTCAGCTTTAGAAAAACTTTTATTTATTTTACTTTCTACATGGTCTGATACAATATTAGTGAATGTGGAATTGAGAATGTTTAATAATAATGTGTAAAGCAGTCAGAATTTGGTATTACTTTTATCTGTCTTTGAAACTTCTTGATTTGATCTTTGCAAGAAGATTTTGGGAGCTGCCTAGAAATGACATTAGCTTAGAAACTTAGCTCCAGCAAACACCTGCTGTGTACATTAGTCTGGGTTAGGTTGGGATTTGTCCTAGCAGTGGGAGTTATGGTTCTGGAGAAAGTAACTTTGTTTAAGCATAGGACTAATGAATTAATGGGTTTGTGTTCTTTTTGCTTAATACCTTTTCTTGGGTGATCAGTGTAAAATTTAGGTGTAAATTTCTTCAAGGTGAACAAATATTTCTAAAATTGACCTAAACAAATGTTTGATATACTTCTCATCCTTTGCATTACAAAATATCCAGGTATTTCATTATTTTTGTGCAAATAATTTATTGGCTGCTTTATTAGCTTTCTTGTTTCCAGATAATGTAATTGACAACTTCACTATTCTGCTTTAATTTTTCCTTTTTGTTTGGCTTGCAACTCTTTTTTTTGTATCTTTGGAGAAATGCAGAAGGTAAGAAGTGAGGGGTTTTTTGTGTTTTATAGTTAGGCTTACACACACAATCATTTGTTCCTGGACTGTATGTCTTTCACTGTTTTAGAAAAAGCTGTCTGTTAGAGAAGAAGGTTTGAAGCATATGTAAGAGAAAGCACATGCACATCAATGTGTCAGGATATTCAGAGTAAACTTACATGGTGGTTTTAATATTGAGGGAATTATAATTTATTCCCACTATGTGATATCACATAGAGGGAATAAAGAAATATTCATAAGGAGTAGCTTTAAGACAGTAATCTAACCTCCCAATGCCCTCTTCTATAGTGAATGGAGAGAATCGCAGAGGACCATTCACATTTCTGCATCTTGGTGTGTCCTTGAGATTCCTGTCCTCCCTCCGTCCCCAGTCAGCTTACTTCTGGCTCAGTGTTTAAACTGTCTGTTACAAAATGTTCCCAAAACTTCAGCTCCTAAAGTTTTTAAGTTAAATTTAAAGTAAAATGGCCAGTAAAAAAATAATTGAAACTAAGCATTTTTTTAATGTTTCAGTATAAATATTTTGGTGTTAGGAACATTTTTTTATCAGGAAAAAAAAACCAACCAAACATACCACACATACAAATAGCTACTTTTAGTTTTCACTTAAGAAAATCTAAATAAGTAAAAAAATTCACCCACTTATTATATGTTCTATGTTTAGCAGTTACCTTTAACTGATGAGTCAAAATCAACATTAATTCATAATGGAGTAGACTTAACAATTCATAAATCGCATAAGAGGCTAAGATATTGATGTAATAATGACATATTTTAAAGAAAACTTCTCTGTAAAGACATTTTAAAGGTTGTGGTCTTTATTTCAAATATATTTTTCTTTAAACACTTGGCAGATCTTGTAGGTCTCTGTTTCATGGCTCACTATAGACTTATTAAAGAGTGCAACAGACTGAGTTATTAAGTATTGGAGACTTGCTTTGCAAAATGAAAGAGAGAGTCCAGCAAGGAACAAAGCCACAGCTGCAAGGAAGCTGAAGCAGAATCACAGTCCCTTAGGGGCCCACGGGTGTTCTCACTGTTTGTATATACTAGATAAAAATGAAAGCATGGGGGTGTACAAGCAAAAAGACCTGGAGAAATTTGCTTGCTCAGTTATATCTGTATCTACTTAATTCTTTTTCTTTGTATTTTTTGAAGTTACAAGATTATGATGAAAATTAATCAATGACCAAGATTCTAACAATTAAAAATTTAGACATTTGAAACTTAAAATTATTCTTAGGAGCTGAATTGTCTCATCTTGCTGAAACTCATGACAAATACATCGGGTCTCCCACTTAACTAGTACATTTTAATTAAGAGCTATTTATTGTCCGTAATTGTATTTAAAGACGGAGTAAATTATGTATTGGACAGGATTCATTGCTCATAATACCACTATAAGGAATGTGTATGGAAATGTTCTTTTAAACTTAACTGTAGAAAGCTTTTTGTGCATTTTATTTGCTATACCATTGCTTGTACATTTTTCCTGTTTGTTTCACTGAGATTGTCACACTGTTGCTTACAAGCTGTGTATCCTTATGAAAGTCCATTCTAATATCTGAAAGTGCCATTGAGGTGGCCTATATATTAAAGAGCTGCAGGAAGTTTTAACTAACCATAGTGCCCAAATACACAGAAGTGTTTATTCTCTATTATTGAAATTCACCTGATTTAAGAAAAATCCTATGAACTTCCTTTGTTCAAACCAAGTATTTATCCCACTCTTATTTATCAAAATTTCTGACCTTTAAGAGGTTCTAAAAATTGCATTGAGTCTGATTTATTAAACTAATTATGTATTTTTCAAATATAAAAGTGTGTATGTCATTTGAAGTGACATTAAATGACATGGGACAAGTCCTTTAGTTTCTAGGCATGTAGAACTTTTATTTTTAAAACTGAGATTTTACCTACCTGAAGGAATCGAGAACTGAGAAAATATAAAGTGAAATCAATGTTATGTCTCTTGCAGGAGAGGAAAATTGGAAATACAAGGAGCTGAAGAAGAGGGAAGAAAGCATGGACAGTAAGTTGCCTAATATACTTTAATTAGGCCTAATTCTGCTAAAGTACAGGTTTTCTTTTGTTGTTAACACTCAGTTAATTTATAACTGAAAAGAACTGATGTCCTAATCTTTGCATAAAGTTTCTGTGATCTACCTCAGCACAAGACAGTTGATATCTTAGGACTTACAGGACAGTCACAAATATTGGGAGCATCTTTCAAGACTTATCAAACATTAACGGTCTTAAGAACACAGCTTTATTTTTTGAAAGCAAGACTGAAATTAATTTTTAAATTTAAATAAAAGATATATAAAAGCAGTTGTTCAGCTCTGATTAAAAGCAGAACTTGAAAATGAACAAGCGTAGACATAACATAATTTTTAAAAATAAGGCTTCTCATATCTGTTTATCCAAGATGAATGCTACTGAAGCTTTTGTCCGTATTAAAAGGTTCTAATGTTGTAAGACACTAGTGCCATTCATATTCCTGTTTCTGTAGCATTTACAAATAGTTTGTTTGCTTATTTTTTCCACAGTCTTTCTGGAAATTGATATTAAACTGACTGTTCTATACTTCCCTGGCTCCTCTTCTTCAAGACAGCTACAATATTTGCTCTTTTCCCATCTTTAAGATTCCTGCATGTTCCCCCAAACCTCTCAGCTAATCTCAAACAGCTCTGGAACTGCATCAATTTCCTTTGATGAAACAGAGGATGTTTCAGAGGATGAAACAGAAGGATGAAAACAGAGGATGAAAACAGAACTGGTTTTAAAATATACCCTATTGCTGGTATACTGCAGTAGGCAGCTTACAAAGAAAGTTGGTCTGTTACTCAGCAAAAGGGGAAAACAATCAATAAGTGTGCCATGAAGGCTGAAGTATGTAATACCTTTTTGTGACAGTGTTCTCTAAAAATGTTCAGTATAACTTCTGGCTAGCATGATACTGAAAGAAAGGTCTCAGCTGACGATAAGGAAGGATGGATAAAAGCGTGTTTAGAGAGCTCCTGCATTTTCAAATTACCTGATTTCCTGAGAAGCAGAAGGGCAAAAGGTCACTTGTTCTTGATTTTCAGTATGAATACAGGCTGTGAAAATGAGGCCTCATGATCCTTCTGACTTTTTGCATTTTGGTTCTGCTTCTGCCCTTCATCAAAGGAAACTGATGCAGCAGGAGAGGGGTGATCATAACTTACAGCCCTGGGTGGCATCTTGATGGATGCCTGACTTTCATGTGATGTGCCCAGTACCTTTTTTTTAATATGCCTCTCACCAGGAACACCATGTAGTATGCCTAGGACACAAATATAGAGTATATAAGCACCATTACAACTGTCTTGTAAGATTCAATTGATCATTTACTAGAATGAACATAAATTAGAGATGTAGCAAAGGGGCATCACATAGAAAGAAACAGATGATACCAACTGTATACCAGGACCTGAAGGTCTCAGGTCCTTAGCAGTATTTGGTATTTAGTCTTGGCCGTTAGAGATAGTAAAGTCACCTGTTTCCTTTATTTAGTAGCCCATCTTGATAGCTTTCAGAAAAATGAAGGCCAACAGCTGCTGGGACAAGCATCCAGAAAAGTGTCGGAAATGATGATGATGGAACTCCTTTCCCATTGGGTGGCCACCTCACGTAAACAGTATCTTAGAAGGTGGCAACCTCATGTAGTTAATCACTCAAATATGTATCTCTGCAAAAACTGACCTCTTTTTCATTCCAACCCCTGACAAGTTTCAGCAACTCTACCACATGTCTCTTAAATAAGCTATTAAACTTAAAGTAAGTTGTCTGAAATTGTACAGCTTATCAATTTAATCCAAAGTTTTGACTGGAAATGGCAAGGGCTTGTGCTGTACCCATGCAAATAGCAGCTTTCTTTATTATGTTTGTTGATTTCTAGATTTTCTTGAGACTTTTGAAGAGGTGAAGAATCAGGAACTGGAACGAAAGGCCCAAATAGAAGCCAACATTGTTGCACTCCTAGAGCACTCAAGCAGGGTAAGTGCATTCCCCTTGTCCTCTGGCAAGCTAGGCATTTAGAAGCACAGAACAGGAGAATAAATGGATAAAAAGGATGGTGGTATTTTTTTATATATATATATCTATATATATATATATAAAATCCAGTCATTATATGCATAATAACCTCTTAAGAGGATTAAACATTAAACCATGTACAACTGAAGTTTTTAAAAAATAAAGATTTTTTAAATTTCTCTTTATTTCCGGGAGTTTTGAATATTAGATAATACTTGTGACCAGAGTAAAAGAAATGTTTGCATAATTGCTGTAACTTCTCATCATTGCTATCATGAACATTATTCCATTCATGATAAACATTTAAGAGTACTGGAAATAAAACTACTGCACTATTTTGTTTACCTAAAGTCTGCAAATCTCAGTTCATGGGTATTCTGTCACTACTGTTAAGTAACTGACAATATTTCAGTCATCTCTCTGACCTACTAAAGTTATGTCTGAAATACCTTACTGTGTAATATTCGATGTAAACACTTCAGAAATTGCTCACATTTGCAGTCATTTTTTCTTTTAACATTTTTGGTTCCTGCGGAATTGTTTTGTACAGAAATCTTTCAGCTGAGTAATACTTTGATTATGTCATCACTGTAATTGTCTTTAACTCCTTCGGTATGTTAATATAACCATGAGGTATATTTTAGGCACTGACACTTACTTTAGAAGAGATCGATATGGCAACACAGTTTATACTTGCTGCATTTTTGTTTCATCTTCACTGACCTGTCAGTACATCTTTTATCAAAAGTTGGCAGAATGAAAATTGTTCACATTTAAACAACTTTAGCCTATTTATTTCCACTATTTTCAGTCTTTGTAGTAGAAAAGACAAATAATAGACAATGTACCAGGACAAGAGAGATTTTACTTGTCCAATTACCATTTGTTGTTTCAAAGAAACAGCATGTTCTTGTTGTTAACACGCAGAATGTGAATCGTATGAAACAAATTTCATCTGTTACTAATCAAGAGCTGAAGATTATGCAGGAAGACCTCACTTTCAAATCAAATGAAATGCAGAAATCACAGAGCACTGCTAAGAATCTGCTTACAGGTGAGATCAGCAATGAATTTTCAAATTAATTCCTTAAAAACATTAAAATTGCTGGAGTTGTTACACTAATAACAAGATCAGTGATCTCCAAATATTAAAATAAAAGTACAGTGGCAAGTTGACAAATTGAGACAAGTTATTTATATTCCTCAAGAGTATATCACTTACTGATATAGTGATATAGTGATATACTGATATATATCAGTAAATTATCAGCTTCCTTGCACAGATATACATTAAACAGATGTATTTTAATACAGAAGTACAGCGTTCTTTGAGCGAGAATTTTGACTTTACTAATACTCACCTTGAAATAAATGTTTTTCACAACCTTAAAATAGTGTGTAATTAATTGAAGTAGAGACTTCCACTGTTATCTAACTTTGTATTATTTGTAAATGTAGTTCTTAGTATCACTTACTTATGATTTGTGCTTTTCTAAAGGAGTGTGTACCATGGGAGAATAACTGGCAACAATAGTGAATAGGTTTCAAATTCTTGAACTTTGATTCTTCAAAGTCAGTATTCATTTTTACTTCATTTTGGAAATACTCCAGTACTAAAAATTAAATATAAGAATCTGCAGGATCTTGCCTGTAATTTCAAAATGCAGACAGTATTTTTCTTTCATTTCCGTAACAAGTATCTATTTAGTTCTTTATTTGCACTGTTTATAGTGGAATTGTTCTCGTAATTCTAAGCCTTTGCCAATATCATTATTGGTTCAGCAAGGCTTTCCTTGTTTGTTTGGCTGAAAGGAAGGGGCAGGAATTAAGAACCATAAATCATTTTGTTAGAAGGCTATTACGTGCTGTACTTGGTAGCAATTTTCAAAATAGGAGCCTGTGTTGTAACGTCAAAGTAATTGTGTGCAAATAAGAAGTTGTTATGCACAGAATTTTACAGAAATTGATTGCTCTGTTGTGTGTTTGAACATTTAATGTTCGCTTGTCTGCAAACACCCATTTTGCAGTTCTAGCATAGTTTAAAAAGCTGGGCCATACATTACAAGTTCAAATATGACTTTTTGTTCTTTTGTGTAAGCTTCAATTTGTATTACTTTACAATATAAGGATGTTCTGGAAGCACATAGCACTATAGAGACATTATTGAAACACATCTCTCTTTGCAAGGGGAGAGAAGGAAGTTACAGTACATCATTTTCAGCAGATCATTTAAATGATTCATAAGCAAATGTCTGAAAGCAAGGAGTCATGGATACTGTAATAAACAACTTAAGATTCTTTCAAAAATACAGTGAATGTTCAGTTTGCACAGTTGAAGTTCTTCCTAACCCTTGAACTATAGCACAGTCATGTTCAGGATTCTTTTGTTGTGATTTAAGTCTGGATTTCCATATTTTCTTGCTGTAACAAGGATATAAAAAGTCCACCAGCAGAACCCTTGAGGAAAAAAAAGAAAAAAAAAAAAAAAAAAAGAAAAGGAAACCATGAAGAGTAAACAAAAGTGCTGATGGCATAGTTTCCCAAAAACATTTCCCTGGGTCACTGTAGTTTGGTCTGAGAGTTTGCTACTGTGTACACACTGCCTGCTAGACGCTGCAACTTCACGGCATATCAGAAGGAACTGGGCTGCATCCTCTTCCTGTCTCTTCCCCTAGAGAAGTTTTGAGGTTTTTTTCATTGAGGCTGTTGCTGAATAAGGATAAAATTCACCCCTTCCAGTTTCTTCCCTTTTCTCCAGAAAGTGTGAATGGATAGGAAGAGCCCATTGCTGTCTCACCACAGTTTTTATCAGTATATAGATAGGGCAGTCTAAGTATCCTTTCTGGCATTTATGTTGTTACTACTCTTTACATGTAAAATAAATCCGAATTAGTCAACTAGTAGTATTTTAAAATAACAAAATATAAATATTAGAACAACTATATAAAAGGTGAAAATACCATGGTTAGGCCTAAATAAATGCTTAAGAAAATCTAAAGTTGTTTTCTGCTATTCCTCTCCAATTTGAATTATTTTTATTTTATAATTTTATTTTTTACTGGTTTTAATGTTAAAGCCCTGATTTTTAGAGGTCCTTAAGCATTTGTCTGTCTTTAAACCACAATGCCATAGGAAGTAGAGAAGTAGAGCTGTTGTCTGTTCAGTTGTGTTTTAGGATCTGACATTGACCAACACCAGGAACTTCAAACTGAAACTGACACAGGGAAAGTGTTTTCTTAAGCCCTTTAAGGTGGAAAGTAGCATAAACATTGAATCACAGACATGCAATACAGTTCCAGACCTTTTATTTTCAAACCCTTCCTTTTACTGGGATGGAAATTTTTCGTATTTATATAAATGCTCTTTGCACATACAGAACCTTTCAATCTTAACTTACGGAAATGTGCTCCTCAGGTTAATTGCATATTGTACACAAAGATCTTGGCTTGTCTTTTTTTTTCATTTTGAGGTTCCTAAAGAAATCACCAAAGCACTCTGTAGTGATCCAGAAATGCTGATTAAAGCCAATATTTCACTCTAAAATATGAGTATATGGCATAAATACACAAGAGGAGAGATGAGTACCAAAATCTTGCTATGACAGGGTTTTGATCAGGTGAGATTTTCCCAAATAATTCCACTAAGGAAACCATACGCACAGTCTTTGGCAAGGTGAACTCTCTCTGTGTCACGTATGCACATCCACTTCCTTCTGCCATGAAGATCTCTAGTGCCTTGGTGAAGTTGAGGGGAAAATTTCCTAGCCTTCTTCCAACTGATCAGCACAAATCCAAGTGTGTGAGCAAGATACACAATCTATGCCAAGAGCAATTTCTTTGTGCTGTCTCATCCCTCCCAATAGCTCACTTTGCCTGGTATTTTAGAGTGTAGACAACCATTCTGCATTATTTATACGATTCTTCTGAGTTAGACACAGTTCTGAAACATAAAATTACGTAGTCATGTGTTTAAATGTTCAGGAACATGAAGAAAACACAATAAAAAGGAAGCAGGTCAGAAAACAGTCCAAACAAGTCTAGCCACATCTCGTCCTTCCACACTCAGGGAAGTGTGACTTATCCGCAAAACTGGATCAAAGTATATTTCTTATTTTGTGTATCCTTATTGTGTGCTCTCTTAAGCATCTCATGTCTGAACAGTTTCAGTCTTTACATCTCTCTTCATATAAGAATCCAACCATACTTCTAACTCCTTTAATTACCTGTATCTCTGTTGTTTCTTTTTAATGGATTGTCATCTGTAAATTCTGTATATTGTGGCACATGCTCACTTTGTAAGCTATGACAATTCTTATTCTGTGATGATATGGAAGTGTTTTCCTATACAGAGCAAATGTTTAAAGCATGTTTGGCTATTTGCTCTCTTAAAACTAAGTCTTAGTATATGCAAGCAACATAAATAAAAACAACAAAGAAAACTAACAAAAACATATTTTTTTAATTGTCTGCATTATTGCAGTCAGCTTTTTGTAATGTATCACCACTGCTTTAAGACTGGAAATTGACAGAAGCTATAAACAACTTTAACAGTAGAAATACCACACTGTGATATAGAAAATCAGCACATTTTCATTACTCTTCACTTAAAGGGTATAATACTGTAATTTTAATATAGGAGTCTGGTTTATGGGATGATTGTAAAGGTCGAGTTTTTTTCTTTCATTCATATTAACATTCCCATGAATATCAGAATCTGAAAGAGATGCAGGAGCTGTTTGTGCTTAAGTATAGCATAAACCTTTATATACTGGTCAATGTATTATGAAATAAAAAGTACTGTTAATTAGAGATTATGTATTGGCTGATCTAGAGAGTCAAAAACTGCAGATGGACCTACAGAAGATGGAACTCTTGGAGGGCAAGATGGTTGATGAACTGGCTTCTCTTAAAGACAAAATTGAACAAACGAAAACGGAGTTGGAGGTCTATAATAATTTACCAGCTCTGAAAGCATCAGGAGAAGAGAAGAAAAAGGTAAAGAAATTAATGAAACCTTGGATTATACAGAATTTATGTGGTTTTGAGCAGCTAATGGAGGGGAATCTAGGTCTGTGACTGGGAATCCTGACTGACAGCTGAAAACTGGGCTTGGTCACCAGTGCAAATGGAACCAAATGCTTCTCTGCTTATATATGTGACTTTTAACTGGGTACATGTAGCAGGCTATCAGTGGGATACATTTTGATAACTTCTTTCCACAAAATTTACCATTTATGTTACTGATTTATCTGAACCTTTCTTTGTAATTTACGTCTACCCAGAATTTTGAATTTAGTAATCTAACCACGGAACCCAAATGAAAACCAAAAATCTATCCTGCATGTATTTGCTTTTAAGACAAACTCCATCTAGAGCACTTCCCATTTCACATGTGATAAATTTCCTACAAATTCTTAACATCAGTGTTCCCACTTGTGCTGATATTTTATGGTCTAAGCCTACAACTTGGTCATAACTGCTTAATATTATCTTTAGGGAGCATGTATTGCTAGAGAGAAGTCTTTTGAGTGCTTTATGCATATGATTTTGTTCTGAAAGGAAGAAAAAGTAGTATCTTGAAAAGTGAATTAAAATAATTTGTCTGCAGCCCACAGCAAATTAGCTCATCCATTAATCAGTTTGTGTTGGTTTTTTTTCTAACTAGAGACTCCAGGATGACAAAGAAAAATTAACAAAACGTAGCCATGCTTTCAAGAAAATAATGGAACACTTGAATGCAGAGTATGAGAAACTAAAGAGAGAGCTCCAAGAGAATGAGACCCATTCTCAGGTATAGCTCAAGCTACATATTATCTCTTCAGGTGTTTCTATCACAGTTTCAGTTCTCATACGCACGAAGCATTGTTTCAAAGTTATGTGTTGTAAATGCATAGCCCTATTTTCTGTTTCCAAACAAAAGTTAGTATCATGCCAATACATTTCTTGCAAGCTTTGGATTTCAGAGTTACTAGGCAGAGGTCTTTCTGAGCTTAAAAACTGTGCAAATCGTTTGTTTAACTGTTTGTAATAATCTTGCTCAGAACTCTCCCCCTTTTTCTCTTCCTTCGCTTGACGAGTTTTGAAGACCAACGTAGAAAGAAACAATGGAAAAAAAGTCAATGCTCATTATTTAAGATCCCTTTTGCTTTTAAAATTATGGTGGTAAGGGGTTTTTTGCAACCTATGTTATTAATTCCATTTCCCTTTTTCCAGTCTTTCTTTTCCTTGCAGATCACTGAAGTTTTAGGGTTTGTTCAGACTTCTTTAAACCTGAGGAACTTTGGTATATGAATGTATTTACGTTTACGTTTCAAAAGTTAATCAGGAAAGAAGATGTTTATAAACTCTTGAGCAGCTTTGATTCTTCCATTATAAACACCCATAAATTGTGATCATTTGGGTGACAGAACTTTCCTGGCATATAGGTTTGAATGCATAGAAGGAAAATGGATGACCTCAAAATAAGCTGAAAAATGAGAATTTATTATTTTCTCTGCATTTCACTGGTTTTTATTGTTTCAGGTTGTTGAGACCTTTGTCCTTTAGAACTTTTACTTTTTTCTGATTCAGTTAAAAGCTGAAGGTGGTATTTGTACATGTGTAAGTTCACTTCTGGAGTGAACTTTGTGGAGTGAATGAAAGGACATAGCTCTTAATGAGAAAATATATGTATACACTTGTAGCATATAATTGTGGGCTGACTCCAGGTAATGATATAAATCCTCAGAGCTGCATGCCAAAGTCTGCATGACTTCAGATATTGTCGCTTTATGCCAAGGTCAGATTTTTATTCCTAGAGATTACGTAAATCAGAAATGGATACCCAACCACTGTTAAGTTACTTGCATAATGATGCTAAAAATTTTATATAAAATACTAGTTGTGCAGCATTTCTCAGTTCATTAAGCTGTGTCAGTTCTATTCAAATATGTGCAAAAAGGATTTGTTTCTTTGCTTTTTATATCATGAGTGTGAACATCATGAGGGTGAAAAAAGGTGTATCTTAAAATAGCTGATGAGTTGACATGCACCAAGCATTTTGAAGTACAAATAGCATTTACATATCTTGAGGGTTTGGGCAATTTTGCAAGCAGTCGACGACAGGAATTGTGTAGGGAGTTAATTTTCAAAATGCACTGAATATTTCCTTTGGTGTATGTCAGACAGTATTTTAAACCTAGGCTCCTTTACCAGCTGTACTGCATGTAGCAACATCTACAGAGAGGGCAATAAAAATTGTAATTGGTCAGAAATATCATATCTTGGAAATAAATGACTGCCATGTTTGCTGCGAACCAGTGCGCTAGATAGCTGATTTTTCACTGTAAGGTTTCTTTTCAGTAATATAGCAACTATTTTCATATCTTCTAGCTTAAGAATAAGCTTTTAAGTAAAATATTGCAATATTTTCCTAATTTATTACCTTAATTTCCCCTGAAAGTTCAGTCTTAGAATGATTTTCAGGTTTTGCATTTAAAAACAACATCTGTATGACCTGAAATGCAGAACCTTGAGCAGTAGCATCAGAAAAACAAATATTATAAAATTGTATTGTAAGGAAGCAGCCATCGATATAATGTCCACCTTAGTTTCCTGTTGATGCTGAAAGTATTGAAGAAGTGCCAGGACTTAACCCACACTCCTACAATCTTCTCACTGCAGCTCTGTTCTTATCACAGCTTCTGGCATCAGACAGGAAACTTAACTATGGAAGTAAGGAAGTTTCTTCTGTATAGCTCAAAGTCCAAGACAGTGCCAGGAAATATTGTATCTCTGGTGATTTTAGATCTTACTGATTTTAAGAAGAGATCATTTAAATTCTATGAAATATAATGAGAACTAACATCTCCCTGCAGTGTTTACCTTTTTACTTCTGACTTGCTTACACAGTTCTCTACGTGACAAGTGTTGAATTCTCATCTGTTTTTTTCCATCTACCACTGCAGTTGCATGCAGTGCTTTTATACAAATGGATGTATGTGGTGCTAAATTATATACAGGTTAATCATTGTCAGCTTTAAAAATAATTTTGCCATTGTTGCTCCCTTCTGTGGGGTTTTTGTGAAATAACTGTGTTCTTATCAGGTGACAGAGTACAAGGTATTGATACAACATTTGGGGGAGATTCTTTGTATAAAGTACATGTGTATTAATTATCGTTTTCATTTTTGGCCCTTTTTGTGTTTTCAGCTTACAAATTTGGAGAGGAAGTGGCAGCACCATGAGCAAAATAACTTTATGATGAAGGAGTGTATCCTTTTCTTTAAGAAATACAGTAAAATTCACACACTGTATTAATTGAGGAAGAAGTCTGCTTCCTCCAGCAGAATACGACAGGATGGAATGGGGAGCAGGAGACAGGGAAGGAGGGGAAAGGTGATGCTATGCCAATGTCTGCTTATCTGATAGATAGTATATATAGCAAAATTTGCATTTGTTGTCTGAAACAATTTTATGGGGTACTAAAGTAGAAGATTTGTCTTGCAGTCTGGAGTTTTTCCTTTTGGGTCTGTTTTGCTGTTAGGTTTCATCTTGAGATCATCTCCACATCTGTCCAGTCTTATCTGAAATTATCCAGCAAGTATAGCGTTGTTTTAAAATCTGTATAGCATGGTGACTTTGCATGGTATTTTGCGGCCTTAAAAACACCACAAATATCAATGATATTAACAAATTATATGCATTTAATGTATTTAAAAAAAAATAAAAGAGGAATTGCATAGTAGAGGGAAAAAATCAGATAAATATGGTAAGATATGACAAGGAGATGCTTCACCTGTGAAATGGGCTGGGATGGAGGGACTGCATCGTGGCTCTCTCATTATGTGATGCTAATTAAAGACTGACATTGCACTAATCATACAAGATCTTCCAAAACATCAGCAAAATCTTTTTTGCTGCAAGTGACTTTTTTTTGAAATTATCAAAAACACTTTTTTTTTTTTAATTAGAATTGATTCTTCTTGTTTTGTACTGTTCTTCATAGTTACTGTAGAGATCTGAGTAGGCCATAGTTGCACTTTTATTTGATATTGTGTGGACTTTCAATTCACTGCAATAAATTCACTTCTTTAATATTATTTAGGAAACAAAAAATCTGAAATCTCAAACATGCATAGAATCACTGTTATTTGATTATAGTACAAATGTAATTGGTAAAAAGTAACAGCAGAACTAGACCGAATCATCCAGTGTTGTGTGTTGGACAATGGACATTACTACGTGCCTCAGAAAATGGCACAAGAATATATTTCAATCAGTTCTGCAATGGCCTCGCCATCAGTGGGGAAAAAATGTAATACAGGATCTGTATGTCGCATTATCTTTTTCATATATCAAATATTCCATTTCTTGTATCTAGGAAGTGCTCTAATTCTTAGAAAAAATCTGAAAAAAGTCTTGGACAGTGTAATGTAATTGGAGCCACCTCCTCTGTGAAGAAAGCTCTACAGGAATATTTTATTAAGGCAAGAATCTTAGATCCTATTCTTTTCGAACAGAAAAAACTCAAAAACAAATCAAGAGGAAAAGATGATTAGGATATTAAAAGTGCCTCCTAACTTGCTACCTATCCAAGTGCAGGCCCTTATACAGAGTTTTATGTCTGCTTGGGCTAGTGGAAAGCAAAGTCCTGCTTTCTTGGACTGGGACTTTTGTAGCCGGAGTTCTAAAGTGCCAAACTGCATGGCTGTAAATAGCAAAATGCCTTGAAATGGTTTTGTTTGCAGTGTAACAATAGGCAGAGTCTTCCACAAGGGACCTATTGCCTATATATATATATATGATATTGAGAGATAGATATATATATATATATAAAAATAAAACCAAAACTGAATCAGGCATGTAACCTTTTATTTTTTAACCACTCTTGGCATGAGATGGCAGATAGTAAAATCTTTAAGACCCATTTGATTTTTTTTGGTTTTGTATTTGTAACCCTTGACAGTTTTCACAGAAGGAAACTTGGTGTATTGTGATTCCCTTATGATCTCTAATTATGCTAATATTTATACTGGCACTTTGTTTCCTTAATTCTTTTAATCAGTCATAGCAACAAAAAGTCAGGAGAGTGACTACCAACCAATAAAGAAGAACGCAAGAAAGCTGGTCACAGAATACAACAAAGCTCTCATAGAAGCTTTACAGAACACCAAGAACTGAACCCAGGACTTCCTTCCTGCCCCAGCGGGACCAACAATGAGAGATGTGCACAGGCAGCATGGAAACCTGGACTACTGAGCTCATTTGTTCACCACTACATCGACAGATATTCTTAAAAGTATTTTTCCAAGTTTTTAGAAGTCATATGTTTTAATAGTATCTCTCCTTTTGCAACATTTAAAAATTTTAGAAATAAATTTCTGAATTTTACAAATGTGTAGGAATAAAAAGGAAGTACTGCACAATAAGTATAAAATTATCAGAACGTTTTACTGAGGCCTGTTGCTGGATTGCATCTCAAATGTGAAATTCCAGTCTGCTTTACACAACGAATCTCTTAATTAATTCTTAATTGTAGTCCTGTCCCTGACAAACAGGAGTTTTCCCTGCATGAGGACTGTCTGACAGGCTCTCATATGCATTAGCTTCAATGAAGTGCATCATAAGGTGAATGGTAATATCAGCATACCATCCCTATTCAAACAGCGATTTATAACAAGGAAGGAAAACATCTAAGGATGAGAAGCATCCTTTTAAGTCAGAATTGCTTTGTAGTATAAAGTCTTATAATAAAAGCAATTGTACTTTGGATCTGTCAGCAAATTTTCATTTCCCAGTTTAGAACTGATTAACTTCCTTACTTTATATTTTTAAATGTAATTATAAGGAGACAACTGTGATAAAAAGTAGTGAAACATAGCTAATACTGACCTTGTGTGGAGCTTTTGTAGTATTCACCAATAAAGGAAATAACAGGGAAACTTATTTGTATTTTCTGCAATGTTTTTTTTTCCCTCAGGTTTCAAGCTGCAGTGTGATACGCTACCTCTGCTTTGACAAAAATACATAGAAAGAGATTCAACATGGAACAAAAACAGGACTGATGCGGAAATAACAATATGCTTTATGATACAGAAATTTCAGAAAACGTTTAAATGAAACAAAATTTCCATGTATATATTTCCCTCACATTCTACATGTAATGTAATTATAAACTACATTTTGATAATTTCCTCCACCTGGTATGTTGTAAGCTACTCCTGATCAAAGAGAAAAAAGCAGAGTTGACTAGATAGGAATCTAGCCTTTTACAAAAAATAATAAAAAACAATGGGGTCTGGATTTATAGTTACTCTGCTCTCTTAGAATTTTTTTTCTGAAAAAGAAGTAGACTATATGCTTCACTTTATGGAACTGGAGTAGACAAAGAATTATAAAATGTGCTGAGTCCATTAAAATAGAAGTTCTTTATTTTTGTCACTAATTTTCTACAAACCTTTGAATATAAAGAAGTATGTAAAACAAAAATATTGAAGATTCTTGCAAAGAGCACTGTGTTTCCAAATTCAGCACAGTAAATGCTGTTGCTCTGTATATTTATGTCTGTATAATGTTTAGAGATAATGGAACAGGATTTCTATAAACTAAGGACTGTTATCTAGGGGAAATTCCCACTAATGTCTCTTCCTTCCTGTCAAAGTTTCAACTGCCCCAGAGAGAGCCCATTATTTGCTGAGATAAAGTTAAGTCTAATATTCTCACCAATCAAACCATCAGCCAGAGAGATCGCCTCCTGAATTACACTTGTGCTGCAAAAACATATTTTAATGAACAATGGAAAAAAGCTGCAGACTGAATAAACAGACTGCTTTAAATTTGCTTTCACTCAGGGCAGGGAATGGTTTTATTCCTTGGTAGCGATTCTGTAAGATACCATGATAAAGTTTACAGGTTTTTATTGTGTTCCCCAGAAGATGCCTGTCATAAAAGCCCTCTCTGCAGCGTGCTCTTGTTTCCCTTGTTCTGTGGAAGGATCTCTAGAGTACCTGTTTCTGCCTGATAATCCGGTCAATTGTTCTTTCTTTAACCGTTCATCCTTATGGCCCTGGATCATGGTCATAGTACTCGTGGCTGAAAAGAGCTACGCAGGCAGGCATTTAATCTCGCTCTAGGAGATTAATAACTCATTCCCAGTAAAATCCCGAGTAAATCCCATCCAGATCTAGCTCCTAAAGTCTCAGTGAAAATAACCTTTTATTTAACTCCATCTTTTTTCTTTTTTTTTTAATACAACTTTAAGTACTAGACAGATGGCATTTTTTTCACCAAAGCTCCTGTGTTTATATCAAGACACTAAGTCATTAACACGGGTCTCTCTACCCAGGCAATTTTTTATCCATTTTATGCTATGACTTCAAACTGAGAGGACATTAATTAGGTGGCACCATCTATGACGTGGAGAAATTTAAAACCTTTTCTGCTCACCTGGCTCAGCAGGTAAGAGTCACCTCCCTCAGCCAGCTGGCAATGCTCTTCCTCGCACACCCCAGCATACTGTTGTCTTTTTTTGCTGTGCATTGTTGGCTCTTGGACAGCTTGGTGTCTGCCAGGAAAGACCCCAAAGTCCTTCTCCGCAAAGCTGTTTTCCAGCCACTCAGCCCCCGGTGTGTATGGGTACTTGGGTTGTTCCTCCCCAGGGGCAGGACTCTGCATTGTATTTATCTTTGTGGAACTTCATGAGATTCCTGTCTGCCTGTTACTTCAGCCTGTTGAGGTCCCTCTGAACAGCAGCACACCCACCTGATGCATCAGCCACTCCTCCCAGCTTTGTATCATCTGAAGACTTGTTGAAGGTGCATTCTGACCCATCATCCAGGTCATTAGTGAAAAGGTTAAAGAGTATTGGCATGAGTATCCACCCCTGGGGTGCACCACTACTGACTGGCCTCTAGCTGGACTCTGGGACCCTGATCACACAGTGACCCCCAAGCCCATTTTCAGTCCACCTCACTGTCCACTTACCTAATCCATACTTTGTCAGCTCATCTCTGAAGATTTTGTGGGAAACTGTATCAAACGCCTTACTGATGTTGAGGTAAACAATATTCACACCTCTCTCCTTGCTCACTTAGTTACCTCATTGTGGAAGGCTATCAGGCTGATTAAGTGTAATTTCCCCTTCATAAATCCAAGCTATCTACTCACAATCAACTTCCCATCCTTCAGATATCTGAGAATGGTTTCCAGCATAAGTTGCTCCATCACTTTCTCAGGGATTGAGGTGAGGCTGACTAGCTTGTAATACCTCAGCTCACTCCCCTTGCTTTTCCTGAAGATAGGAATGACATTTGCTTTCAGTCTTCAGAAGCCTCTCCCTATCACCATGAAAAAAAGATAACCAAGAATGGCCTCACAGTGCCATCAAGCAGCTGTGTCTGCACCTGTGGGTGCATCCCAACAAGCCTCAGGGACTTATGTATGTTCAGTTTGAAAGTTCCTTAACCTGGTCCTCCTCCAGGAAGATGCCACTAAGGCATTAGGATACCAGGTTTGATGGTGTCTGTTACTCCAAATACCATTTCACTGGAACACTGCAGGGAAATAAGCAAAATCTTCAACCAAAGGGTCTGTTATTTCTGTTGTGTTTGTGCTTTGCATGAGGTTGAGCATAGGGAATGACTGTCATTATTCCCAACTCATCATGAGATGACACTGCACCAACCTGTTTCCCCATATTCAGCAATATCATCATATCTCCAGACAAAATGTATTTTTGCTGCAGGCAAGAGTTAATCTTTTTGTTGGTCTTCCTCCTTCATCTTACCTTCACTGCTTATTTTTCTTTTAAAATGAGTTTATTTTTTTCCTGAGCTTCAAAGACAACATGCAACATTCATGTGAGTGATTTCAAACAGGCAGAACACTGAGATTCTCTTTTAGTTCTTTCTGCCTGATGACATTATTAATGTTAATGCTTCTTAGTGCTGGTATCCACAACTGGAGGCTTTCCAAAGTAACGTGGTTGTAAAGTCTTTCAGTACACTTCTATTTTTCTGCTGCAAGTGTAAAATAAAAACACAAAACATAAGGCAGACCTTATGATAAAACACTAGCCATAAGAATAGCTTAGTCTGAGGAGAAAGATAATGAAATGCTTACTTTTAACTAGTCTGCAAAGTATCTGCTTTGCGTGAACTCCTTGGAAACATGTCTCATAGTGATAAGGCATCTGGGTGGGGTGGACATGGCAATTGTCTGGAGAGAAAAAAAAAAAAACCCTTAGATTCTGAAAGACATTGTAAAATCAGAGTTCACTTGCACACATGCACAACAGTGGATACTAGCTGAACGCTGAATGCTGTATGTGTTGTGGGTGACAACTCCAGCCAGA